TATATATATATATATATGTTTGTGTGTGTCTATACATATGCATGCACACACACACACACACACACACACATATATACACAGTATATGGGTTAAACATGGAAAGACTTCTTAAAATCATATATGTGCACAACCCATGGGTTGACCTCTAAGTGGGGTGCAACTTCAAACTTTGGAGCTCACAGTTTATAATATTTTACATGTATTCTACTCTGAACAACAGTAGCATGACATGTATTTAATTCACTTGCCTTTTCCCACTCCCTCTCCATGTTAAGCAATGCAACAACCAATTTTGGATTTGCCTGATAACCATCTTCCGTAAAGGACAAATCTTTGCCATCCCAAGTCACATTGACCATAAATCTGCAAAAAGAAGTAAAAAGGATAAGGTAATTAATGAGCAATTCAGTGGGTAATGAGTTTATTAGTTCAGTCATAAATGCAGTTGAGATGTATGCATCTAGAACAATTCCAACATTAGATAAGTAATAACAAGAAACACGTTGTTTTACAAAGCTGATACTTTCAAGCTGATGCCAGTTAATTTTTCCCACAGAAAGTCCTCACACAGAAATTACACTTGAAATCAGTTTGTTGTTTTCATGGTCAGTATCTCTCCTAAAGCAAACCTTTTGCAAAATGTAATTTAACAGACTAATAAAGTGTAAAAGCAGAAGTCCCAAGGTGTCTCCAAGTGCCTTACCTGAGTTGATATGGTTTTTCTGTGTAGCCAAGGAGTCTGTTTAGGGGTTTAGAGATTTACAAAACTGGACAACAAATGTCAACAGCTTCTTTGAAAAATGTAGCTTTGGAAATATATATTGGCAAGGGAAACATACTAAAAAAAACATAATATGCATCAGATTGATTGGTGAATACAATACTTCAAAAGTGACTGCTCTGTAATCTTTAAATCAGATAAGAAATACATATAATGCTGAAAACGTGTCTATACAAATGTTTAGTTCATTCAGAAGCTGATGAAATGTTAATATATTATGTTCATTGTTTCAAACATTTTTGGACGCACATTTTGAAGGTCATTCTGTGAGAACTAGGTATATACAGTATGCACAGCACTCTCTTTTGACACATCTGCACAGGTGGCCTTCATCAAGATGAATACACGAAAAAACAACGAGGGAAAAGTAGTGCTAGTACTAACCCGAAGCCATCTGCACGCTGACCCTCCTTCAGTTGATGCGTTTTTGAGGGAAGGGGCTTGTCACAGGTTCTGACGAAAGGGGCTTGTCCTCAGAAACACGTCAACTGAAGGAGGGTCAGCGTGCAGATGGCTTCGGCTTAGTAATAGCACTTCCTTTCCCTCATCGTATTTTCGTGTATTCATCTTGAAGTTTTTCTGAGATTGTATCGCTTGATGCTCGTTTGCACAGGCTGGTTTGTAAGTACCTTTTCAGCTGTCTTTTGTATCTACAATAAATCTATTTTACACTATGGAGGTGCTCCCTTTGCTTTGTTTTCATCACATATATACATACACACACAAACAGAGTATATATCTTGTCACATGACAGGCACAATTGACATAAAATATCTATCTATCTATCTATCTATCAATCAAATAATTAAAGAAAAACAGCATTTATAGTATTTGAAAATAGAGTGTACCAAATAGGGAAAAGGATTTGCAATCTTATATAATGTCATCAGCGTGATTATTGCGTAAACCTACATCTGTATAAAGATTTATGTATGTGCCTTTAAGCAATAGCTCAGCTACTCATATAGCATTCTTGAAGTGGGAGCTGTAGAGAAAGGCTAAAAGAGCACAGATTCCTTAATCTCAATGAATGAGGAAAAAATTTGAACAATACCAAGCATCTATTACAAATCTTGGAAAAGTTTAAAATGACAACTGACTCTAAACTAGTTACAGCTGATGTAAATTCAGTATATATGATAATTGGACACAAAGATGCAATTAATGCAGTTGAATAGATCATGAAGAAAGATACCAATATGGAAGAAAAACCAAACAAGTTTATTTTAGAAGCATTGAAATTTGGTTTAGAACAAAATATTATTTTTGGTATGACGGAAGCTTTTGGAGACAGATAAAAGGAGTTGCAATGGGCGCAAAATTTGCGCTCAACGTAGCTATTACTTTTATGGCAACATTGGAAGAACAGGAAGTGTTTAAAGAGACCCCCAAACAAATTAAACTCTACAAAAGGTTCATAGATAATATAGTTTCTGATTTGGGAAGGAGACGAGGAATCATTAAAACAGTATTTACTAAAGCTTTATAACAATGACAAAAATATTAGATTAACATGGGAGTACTATAAAGAAAGGGTTAATTTTTCTAGATGTTACGATATTTAAAAGAGAGAATAACAACATTTTAACAAAAATGTATTTTAAAGACACAGACAAAAATATATATTTCTATCTCAAGATGTCACCATCCGGCATGGCTGAAGAACATGCGGTAAGCAAAGCTAGTAGAGTCCTGTCCTGCATCAAGAAGGGAATGTTTTGCAGGGATAAGTCTATAATTCTGCCACTTTACACATCACTGGTTCGGGTTTTGGGCACCGGTACACAGAGGGGATGTCCTTGAACTGGAGAAAGTCCAGCGAAGGGCAACCAAACTCATCAAAGGGATGGAGGACAAGAGCTATGAGACACGGTTACTAAATTTAAATATGTTCACGCTGGAAGTAAGGAGATTAAGGGGGGACATGATTTTCATGTACAAAATGTTCTATAGTCATAGCGACATAAGCAACAAACTCTTTAAGATTAATTCCGTAACAAAGACTAGAGGCCACCACCTGAAGCTGGTAGAAAAAAAATTCAAACACAAGGGGCGAAGGGGGTTCTTCTCAGTTCGAGCGGTTAGGGTCTGGAACTCGTTGCCACAAGCAGTGGTTTCAGCTAATAGTGTAGAATCGTTCAAGAAGCTTTTGGACGATTTCCTGAGAAACGGTAATATACAGGGGTACAAGTACTCCTAATAACGAGATGACTCAGGGACCTATAAACACACACACAATAGGTTGGACTTGATGGACATGTGTCTTTATTCAACCTCAAATACTATGTAACTATGTAACTACAGTATGTAACATACCAATAGGTGAGTTCCAGAGATTGAGAAGAAATTGTAAAAAAAAAAATGGATTATTTGGAGCATTAAGAAATATTAGCGAAATGGGTTATAAAACAGAACAGATTGAAAAAAAAACGAAATGAGGTGTTGAAGATGAAAAGAGAGGATTTATTGAAAAATTATCCTAAATGAAATAGGAAAGAAAATAGAATGAAATTTGCCATTACACTGGATTACAATGTGCAATACAAGACAATTATGAAGGTTATCAGGAAATACTGAAACATGTTACTAAAAGATCAAGTCCTTGGTAAAACTTTGCCCAAGAAACCAAAATTTATTTTTAAGAAAGCACCCACTATAAGAAATCAATTAGTACAAAATATTATAGATCCCTGAGATATAGAGAAATTAGGCTTTTTGATATGCAAGGGTTTTATGCATGTGGGCGGTGTTATGCTTGTAAGGAGGTTCAATATAATGAAAAAAGGAGAAAAATGTTTGAAATAAAACCGAAAGGTAAAACAGAAAAAAATTAAGATTTTATATCATGTAATTCTGTAGGAGTAGTGTATATGCTTGAATGCCCAGGGGTGTGGAAATTTTGGAAAAAACTACTTGTCCAAGGACTAAAGCGGGGGCTGAATCTACTTGTCCTTCATGACAATCTACTTCACTGCTCCACGCCCCCC